GCCAGCTAAAAGGTTCCTCTTCTGAAAACACTCACAAAACCATGCATTTAGCAACTATCGCATTACAAATGACCTGCTGCTACTGATTTTTTTCTAGTTCCCTCTCAGTTAAGATTATGTTGATAAAACAAACTGCACTGATCACGATTATGAACTAATAAATGCTAACAAATACAAATTACATAAGTTGACAAGCGTTGTTTCTTAATCAGTGATACATACCTGTTACGTTCCTCGGCACTCACGGAACTTTTTGTGGTTTCACTTGAATTAATGATTCCTTTGATGAGTTGTTTATACAACGAGATGGTCAGCTCACAGAGCGTTACATTCGCAGTGCCGTTTCTATACGATGCCATCAACACATCGAATAATAGACGCATTTGTTTCAACACATCCTTAACTTACGAAACTTACCATTGTGATCACAACTGTCATTCACTTCATAAATAAATGTTCCTTATCATCTTCTGTGTATATCATTTGCTTGTGCAAAACCAACATGCTCATAATGAAACATGTTTCAAGCATCAGTCATATCAACAACAAAGCCTCCTCTCAGCCTATATCAGGCATACTCTTTGATGTTCACTCATTCTTCGATGGTTCGTCTCTTCAAGGGAATCAATCTTGTATGCGTGAGTAGTAGTGCAATGAAACCATCAACGATTCAATAACAATAATCATAAACACCTTATATTCCTATACAGTAATACTATCCTGTTTGTGAGCGGTTACAAAATTATGTTGAAAAAAATACAAAATAATGTTGAAAAATAAGAAATGAAAAGAGAAATAAACTCGAAAATATCAAAAAATTGAGTTTCTGATTGATTTTGCATGCAGTCACACAATCGCACTATGCATCAACTAAATGAAATGATTACCTGCTGAAGAAGGCTGAGATAATTGTTGGCGGGGAAACGTTTTGCTTCATCACACAAACGTGCCAACTTGTGTGGTGAATGGTTGAAGGCATGAGCGTTCACCAGATTCTCGGCTAGCGATAGCCAATTCTTCAAGAAACGCTCGACTTCTTGCGCGAATTCAGCGTGAATTGGCAGTGAGATGTGTTTGTCTAGCAGAGACATGAACGATGCATGACAACCGCTGCGATAGAACGCTGACAGCATCAGATGATACGGCATTCGACGATCATCAATTAAAATCGCACACAAATTCGTTATCCAACCACTCAGATAGGGCAATCTCAAAATATAATACCAATTGCATCTTATATTTTACAACCAAATTCACCATAAGTAATTACTCCCAACTTATCAATTACCCATCTCGTTCGCATTCAATCAAAATGATATAACTCAAATGGACAAATCTGCCAGTTACTAACCAATAAATAACGAATCAAATCAGCTATAACTAACTAACAATAACCACAAAAAACACTCACACAATCGACGAAACTGCGTTCAGTCTGGGCGGTGACTCCAGAGCCACTTTGTAACCGCTAAGAAGATGTTCGGCTAGAAGAACCGAGTTCTTATCGGGCGATACGCCAGTCGGCTCGGGAGTTCGGCGTCTCGGAGGTACCGACGTGCACACTTTCGTTAGCATAACCATCAGCTCGTTTAGCTGTCGTTGACATCTACCGATTGCGGTCACACCCGATTTCGTACGTAACCAACAATCTTCCATCATCATTAAACTCACTGAAAAAATGCCGCCACTTCATTTCAGCCATCCTATTTCAGAAAACTGCTTATTTCCATTTCATTCTAATTCAAGTTTTTATAAACAGTGGGCAATCTTATTCCTAGACTTCCACTTAAAAGACAAAAGCTTTCTGAACCTCATTCTTGGATACTGAAGCGTATTGCATTCACTTTTCATTTATTTTACAACACTCAGTTCGAAATAAAAATGCAACAATCACACAGACATGGAAGCATATATCACTCTGTATAATTTCCACGAATAGCGAAAAAAAAAGAAATCTATCTGAACTGTTCTCAGCTTGAACAAATAGCTACATACATACATGCCGTCAAATCATAGCCTGGCAAAATTCCTGACAAACGAATAAAAAGTTCAACCACTTACGAAGATAAGGTGGACATGAGGTAGTCGGCTTTTGTGGGGCAGGTACGCATTCGGTTCCAACTGAACCAACAAGGCGAGCCACACTGTCTTCGTCCGCAGTGGACGTCTTCTCAGAAGGCACATCGAATGTGATCAGATTCGTGGTCGCACCTCCACTCGCACTCATCTCAACTTCGTCAACATCGTCCGTCTGCGTTGACGACGACACTTTGATCACTGAATTAAACGCTTGCAGTACCGCGCTTTCCCAAGACAACATCCTGTAACACATT